GTTTTATATTCTAGATGCACAATTTAGCAAAAGATAATATATATCTCATTTCCAATGAAACTTGACAAACATGATCAGGAAGAATAAAATTTCCATATATTTGTTTATTTAAAAACCAACCACCCTGGGGATTTTCTGGTGTTTTTTTCAGCAACAACAATAACAAAGAATATTTGGAGCATTTTTAGTGTAATGAATTTGTGCCCCTCTTTTAAATAAATAGTTACTGCTCTGCAAATATTTCTTTTTACAACAGTACCATTTTTAGATTTTGACCTGGAAAATGAAAATTTAAATTACACTCCCCCAAACCCCCTCCAAAATATCTAAATCCATATAACTTTTTTCTGATTATACTACATTTTCTTACTGAGGCATAATTCTTGTAATGTTCCATAAAAAATTGAGCATGCAGAGAAACCAAGGCAAATATTAAATCCATGACTGAATTAATTCCATTAATCACACTGTTCTCTCTTACAAATCTAAGTCGATTCAAAATGTTCAAAGATATTTTTCATCCCCAAGATTACTGCGACTGTACAGTATCTTTGACTCTGCTTAACATGATGTGTATAATATTTTATTAACAACTTGGTTATGATAAATATACTTTTCTAATAATTTTATATAGTGTGCTTAAAACATTTTGTGTATGGTTTATAGCAATGTCAGGAGTACTTTACAGCTTCACTACTTTGCTGTAGACTCAGTTCTTGGCTTTCAGTCAATTGGTTGGGCTTCAGAACCAGATCTTTGGACTGAATTAGATTGACTTAAATTTTATCCAACCTCATCTGAAGAGTTGAAGAAATATTACTAACATAATGTATGTGTGAAATGCTCAGAACACACCTAAAACATATTAGCATGTTGAATTTCATTTCAGTACAATTAAAAAGACCTTCTTATCAACTTTTTTTTCTCATCCAGTTAGATGTGCTAGGACTAAACTGCTCAAGGCCACCCAGAGATCTACTTCACATAAGACAGGTTTGAACGAGAAAGTTCTAAAATCTACATTTGTCCACTCTGACACACTAAATCTCAAAAAGTAATTACAAACATTGTAGATTCCCATCACAGGAATTAACAGTTGCAACGATTGACTCATTGCCACTCAGAACTCTTCTTATATAATAATAATAATAATAATAATAATAATAATAATAATAATAATAATAATAATAATAATAATCGCTATTAGTCAATTGCAAAAGGCGGCCTTACTGGGAACTGCTTCCATCCTGCAACGATATCTGTAATACCATCAAACATCCACATCTGCCTATCCCAGGTCCTTGGTAAGGACTCGATAGGTAGACAAAATGCCAAATCCAGTCTGAACATCTGGCTGACTGTGCGATGATCCATAACAACAACAACAACAACAACAACAATAATAGTAATAACAACAACAATTACAGTGGGGTTTTAATGATAATAGATTTGAAACAAGCCATTTAACTGAGCTACAAGAGGAAACAAATAAAAAAAAACCTTAATGACCACTAGTTAACGTTTTCTGTATCTTTCTGCTGCTATTTGAAGGCTATTCATATTTTTGCAGACCAGATATTCTATGACACCTCTAGGTTTTCTTCCAGCCTGCTATCCAAATTCCTTTTCATTGGGAGTTAAAGCTTCATGCATTTAAAATAAACATTTAAATGTCCACTAGAGAAATGAAGTGATAACTAGATAGCTAGATAGACAGCTAGATGATAGCTAGATAATAGCTATCTAGCTATCTAGCTATCTAGCTGGATAGCTGGATAGCTGGATAGATAGATAGATAGATAGATAGATAGATAGATAGATAGATAGATAGATGATAGATAGACAGACAGACAGACAGACAGAGATTTTAATAGCTACATTCCCAGCTGAAATGTTAATCCAGCAAGGCTAATGCAGTCTATATACAAAATTTCATTGTAACAATAAGTGAAATGGAAATAAAATAAAATAATAAAATAAAATAAAATAGCTACTGCATGCTGTATTAAAATGGCATATTAAAAGAAAAAAAATGGAACAGGATTAAGTATTACATAGAGAGCAAAACAAACAAACAAACCCTACCAACAACAACCATCACCCAGCATTTTGAGATACAGCTCATACCACGGGATATGTTGACATATGTTTCCAAGAATAAGAACTTTCATCTGTACTGTAAAAATATGAATCTAGTGGAATAAGTCATAACCATTAAACAGGTATTATCATAAACAAATGACAAAAAGTTCTCATTCTTCAGTGTTTAAAAAATAAAATAAAAATCCATCCATCCATTCAACAAACAAACATTGGAAGCTGTAAGAAATTTTTTATTGATTTTTTCCCCAGATAAACAGTTATGCTGTCAAAAAATTATGACAGTCATTACTATCCAGGAATATAAAATGTAAAAACATTGGCATTATGGGATTTAAGTGATAAAAATACATTCTATTACTAACACACATATTACAGTTGCAGTGTTGTAAAAATATAATAATCATGCTCCTCATTTCTTTTCAGATCTCAGAAAAGTTATTTCCAGAGGCCCTCTGTCACTGCATGCTTACAGTATAAAGGATTTTTAAAGGATCTTTTATTTGTAGTTCAGCATCTACACAACTGATTTATATACTCCTAGGTTTTATTTATTTATTTAAGGAAAAACAAAAAATTCAATCTCTCTAGTGGGGAGAAAATAATTTGGATTTCCACTGAAAATTCATCAACATACGAAGGTATATTTATAGTATGCAAAGGTCACAATCATAAATAACTCAGAAATAATGAAGATGTATATTATTGCTTAGATGGATTAACTAACTCATTGCACACATACACGCACAAACACGATAGCAGATTATACAGGAAAACACAACACTGTTAAAATGTCTACTCCTTAGCATATCAAGAGATATATTGAATCCAAATATTCATTTAATATCAAGGTTTTAAATGATAAAGGGAAACTATTGCTGGGAAAAAATGGAAGCAAAGCCATAAAAAAATAGTTAAACCAATCATAGATCAGAGAAGGAAAAAAGTAAAAATTACAATAATCACAACAGAAAGCAAAAGACTTCCCTTCCAAATTGATCATAATCAAAATGATCAGTGCATCCAAGCTATCTATACATTCTCAAGAATGTCAGAGGTCAGAGGAACTCAATTTTCTCTGTGTCTTCTTTTACTTACCTTTAAAAAAATCTGTCATTCCTTCTGTAAATGTCCCATCTCTATCTTTGGGCTAATTGTGTAATCTGAAGGGTGCTGCCATGAAAGTGTTACTTTCATTTCTCAAATATTAATTGTTGAAGGCCTAGGTCCAGGAGCTTTCAACAGAGCTTCTGTTCTTACGCTCATGAATTTAATCATACCTTTAATTAAGTATTGGTCTTGTGTCTATGTGTCTCTAGCATCCTGTACAACACACTGAAATCCATGGAAATCCATATGAAAATGTGTACAAGAAATATATATTATCACTAGCTCTCCATGGTATATACCGTATATAAACACATTTATAGATAACCAGTGGAAATTTATACTCAGTGACTTATTCCATACACATTGTCCCATCACCCTCTATCCTACTTGAGAGAATAAATTACAATAGAATATATTATTCTGGAAAATAAAGAGACTGGGTTTAGGAAGATTATTTTAGAGTTGACAGGTGAGCCAATCAAGGGAATCTGTAAGGGAAGAGGTTGTTTAAAAAGTCAAGATGGTAGCATCTTTTTACATGAGTTCCATGTGCAACACAAATAACAAAGAGGTTGAGATGGATCAAGGATGACGTCTTGATTATTTTTTGACATACTTGCAACATCCTGATAATGACCCTGAAATCATCATAGTTTCTGAGATCTTCTTCAGAAGATAGATTGATTGAATGATTATGTGACATTAAGTAATTTTCAACTTCTGGCAACCACAAAGATTTTCTTCATATGATATGTCCCTAACTTGGTCCTTCAGGTCTTCCAATGAGTCCATCCACCTTGCTGCTGGCCATTGTCTTCTCCTCTTTCCCCCACCTTTCACACCATTAGAGCTTTCTCTATAAAAATATGCCAGATTTTCATAGCCCAAACATTTCAAAATATAATAGTGAGAGTGATTCATGACAGATTGCATCAAATCCCACTAGCATCAAGTTTCAGCCAGTCTCATAGTTACTTATACTTAGTATCTTTAAGATACTAAATGCCAACAGCAAAATTCTGATAATCAAATGGTATTTTTATTTTCTAACTGTAATTATATGATTAGGCTGCTGTGATTTGCCTAGTATGTAGCTCTTTTTGCTATGGTAGCTTAAATTTACGGGCCTAGAACCTGAAGGATATTCCCCACTTAATGTAAATACTTTGTTTTACTAAAAACTAAGCTGATTGTTTCTTATTTTCCACAGTTTAAGTCTTATTTAACGCCCTGTAGTTATAGACTTAATAAACTGGAATTAAATACAACAGGCACTCATGAGTGTTTCAATATGGCTTTCTGTATATATTAAAGTTCAGTAACAACAACAAAATGTAGCTGAAATGTTAAACCAATGTTGCACCACTACAACATTTAAAAAAATCCTTTTGCAAAATATATAGTATGAACAGTGGAAGCAGATGCAGTGTAGTAGCCATTGTGTCTTAGATAATTTAATTGAGCTATAAAAGAGAGAGCGAATATGGTAGAGGAGTTAAAGGGTTGGACTAGAAGAAAGACACAAATTCAGTTCTCCCATCAGCTCAAGCTACTTCACAGAGTTCTTCTCACTATGGGAAAAATGAAGAAAACACACACAAGCACACATACACAAGCACACACACACACGTACATATATGCAGACACATGCATACTTATATTTAATCACTCATACATATTTTACATACACATACATGGATATATAAACATTCATAGACCCTTGTGTTTTTAAACACTACATTTTCATTTTTGAAGCTTTAATTATTCAATTATGACTGGTTCTCAGATCATTTCATTTTTACTATTTATTGCAAACATTAATTTGACAACAGCAAATCAACGTTGGAGGAATATATGCAAACAAATCCTAAAATAATATTACTTCAAGGAAAAGCAAATGGATCAGAGAGGCAGCCCTTCTATACTTTAAGAACATATACACAGCCTATTTCCATTTGGAAGATTTTATAAATTGGCTCCCGATCCAGGTCATTTGTGTAGAGCCACCATTTTCATTACCCTGCCTTCACAGAGGAACTCATTCAAGGGTTGTCTTTTCTGGTTGCTATGGATCCTCAAGAATTGGCCAGTGCTTTTCCCAGCTGCCCAATAGGGAGTACCAAACTTAAGTCTCCATTGTCCCTACAATTAGTGGAGCCCTTTTCTGCTTATTTTGCAGTGAGTGAAATGGGCAAATAGGAAAGTCACTGGATGAAGAAGCAGCAGCCATCCACTGGACTGTCTGGAAAGATAGAGAAATGTCCTTCAAGTACAAAGGTGCCTTGATGTCCAGAGAGAGGGGAATGAATCTGAGGAACCAACGCAGGACAAATAAGGGGAAGCCATCCATTTTGCCACTCCAGGGAAGATGTCGCATCTAAGCTTGAGAACGTCATCTGGAGCAGCAGCTGAGCTGAAAACAGGTATGGAGTATTGATTAAAGCACTGGACTAGGAAAGTAGCTTCTTTTACCCCTTAAATTAAACTTAAAAGTTTTGCACCAGTCTTTCTCTGTCAATTCAGTCTACCTCAGAGTTGAAGGGAGAAATAGGCCTTGTACTGTGCTTAGATAAAAGGGCATTCTAAATTAAAAAAAAAAAAAACTTTAAAAATTAAAAATAAACAATAATCACATTTTTTTTTGAAAAAAAAAAAGAAAAAGAAAAGAAAAAGCTAGCTCAGCTATATTAAACTGATGGAACTTGAATATGTCTGCAAAGAGCATGGTTTCAGATCAATCCAGCATTTGCGTGTGGCTTAGAATCACTGAAAATGCGAGGTATGACTAACACAATTCCCATTGCATTTTGCAGTTCTATTTTATAAATATGGCTATATTTGGAAACCAACCTTTATTTGAGTGCTATCTATATTCTAATTTGCATGTTCTTTCCTTCTTGAATATCTATGCTGATCTATGTCACAAAATGGGGGCAATATTTGTACAAAATGTACAAAATGTCCAGCAATCTGAATTCTGGAAAACAGCCTTATTTTAAAACAGTTTTCAAAAATATTTCGTTATATAGAATTAGGGTGACTTTAAAAAAAGTGATTGGAAAAGGCAGAGAAAGAGAACTATACGAGGCAGAACTTTTTTTTTTCTTTTAAAGAATTACTTACCTAGAAGTAGATCTACTGAACACATTATACCTTAAATGTAAATAAACAAAGAATTGTTATTCCTATTTGAGGTCAAGCTTGAGAATCAGGTATTTTAGTAGCGTGACATGCAGATCTCAATTCTATTAATACTTGCCAGGATGAACAATTATATAAACAATTAAACTTGAAACTGGATTTTCTTGTTTCAGTTCCACCCCCTTTTTCTTTTGTATTGAACATTTTAATAACCTAAATCTGAGGACACAAACCCTATAGCTTTCAAAGCCTTCCCAGTTGAAAAGTGCAACATTAAAAAAAAAAGAAAAGAAAAAGGAAGAAATGTTAATAAAAAGAAAACAAATAAATAAATTCAAATTGCTGTGTGAGCCACATTTTTACGATGACCTTCTTTAATTAAAAGAAAAAATACCCACGTTTCTTGTTTCAATTTTCTGTCAGTCTGTCAGACTCTGGGCAGTTTACAATAAAACTTTACATGGACACTAAGCGCCACCCCTACACTTTTTAAAAATGGTTTTATTCTTTTTAGCAATGTGAAAATGTAAGCATTTGTGGATCAAAGTGTTTAATTAATTCAGCAGGTTTCTTTTTTCTTTTTTCCTAACATTTACTGTAGTGGTTAAGGGCTGACCTAAAAACAGGAGACTGTGAGTTCTAGTCCCTCCTTAGCAATGAAAAACAGATTGGGTGACCTTGGGTCAGTCATTCTCACTCAGTCCAACTTATCTCAAAAGATGGTTTGTTGTAGAAATTGTTTATCAAGTAAGAGTTTATAATCCAAGGTGTTCCATCATCTCATGTAATAACATATGCTTCTCATGCAGGGAAATAGGAAAGCAATTCCCCAAGTATAGCTCTGAAAGTCAGTAAAAGTTTATTTGTTGTGGGAAAAATGGGAGGGTGAAGGAGTATTAGGTATGTTCATTGCCTTGAGTTGTATATAGGCAAAAAAGGCAGGATAGTGCGAGAAAAGAGGGCAGCTGAGGGATGCGGAACTCCTGACTAACCAAAAAAAGGGGGGGGAAACTCCCCCAACTTAGGACCAAATGAGGGGAGAATGCATAATAATACACACGCAGGCAGAAGATGCAAGAAAAGCACAGTCATTGATACGGAAGTTACGGCTAGAGCATGGCTTGGCCAATTGGGACCGGTAACGAGATCTAGAAGCCGGGTGCAAGCAGCGCTTCACCTATAAATAAACTCTCCCATTGACTAACATTGTACCCGGACGATGTCGGCAGCTGCCAACAAAAGCTAGGTGATTTATTGTATTAAACTTTTATAGTTTTATAATATTCCTGGTGCTCATGTGTTTTTGGTTATTTGGAATATATATATATATATATATATATATATATATATATATATATATATATATTCCAAATAATCAAAACTATATATATAGTTTTGAGCCATGCAATATAACAAGCCTCAGCAAAATGAAAACATGTCCTGGATTATAACAATGGCAATATAATTTCCACCTTAGGCTGTTGAAGGTATTTGCATTGTGTAATGAAATGTAATCTGGATCTTGTGCAGCAGCAATAAAATTTCACTCATCATCATTATCCTCCTCATCCTCATGCTCATCCCACCCTCATTCTGAATTAACCGCTTATGTGTAGTCAGTAGAAAGAAAATAATCCTATTTGAATCATACTTGCATTATTCATGGTGGGAAAAAAATGACATACAATTTACTGAGCAAAAATAATAATTAAAAAAACCCAACAGGACAAAAAAAAAGAAAGAAGAAGAACTGTTTTACATTGCAATTTAAATAATGCATGCCATGTTACTCGGTTGTTTTTTTTCCAGCTAACATTTCTTAGCAGATATATGGAAATTATTCAGTAAAGCTTGTCACTTGAATTGTACATGATTCTTGTTTGGATTTTGTACTCAGTGCTGCCAATGACAGATCTCCATTAATTTCCCCTGCCAGCAAGACCCCAGAAGAAACTAACTTTGAATAAAAACTATGTTTTTCATAAAGTTTTATTAATGAATATTTCCGATCCTGTTTGATGGCTCTGCATTTCTCCCAAAGAATTAAGAGACTGGCAGGATAGAACAACTTCTCTCTGCAAGTCTTTTCAATGTGGTTAAAAATAAAACAAGGTTTCAGAGAAATATCAGATTAGTAGCTTATATTTTGTAGATGTACATTCAATTACAGCAATCTGACCTCTGCTGTTATCTGCTTCTCATCCTCTTCTAATAGGTGGATAATCATCACATAGAAACATAGGAAAATGATGGCAGAAAAAGACCTAGTAGTCCATCGAGTCTCCCTTTGAGTCTGTTTGTTTTTAATTTATTTATTATTGTTTTAAATTATTATTTTTGTATTTTATTTATTTTTATTTTTTGTATGATGATGGACATTTGTTTATCCGAAGCATGTTTGAACACACATATGCTAAAATAGCAACATCAACTTGAACAGCTCCAACAAGGAATTTAGGCAGAAATTATTAGAAAATGATATGATGTGTGTCTAAATATTAGTAATTAAATATATGGTTATATCAGCCTTCTAGAATGGAATGAAAAGGAAAGGAATGGAATGGAATGGAATAGAATAGAGTAGAGTAGAGTAGAGTAGAGTAGAATAGAATAGAATAGAATAGAATAGAATAGAATAGAATAGAATAGAATAGAGTAGTTGGAAGAGACCTTGGAAGTCTTTTAGTCCAACCTCCTGCTCAAGCAGGAGACCCTATGCTATTTCAGACAAATGGTTGTCCAGTCCCTTTTTGAAAGCCTCCAGTAATGGAGCACCTACAATTTCTGAAGGTGAGCTTATTTCATAGTTTGATTGCTCCCACTGTTAGAAAATTGGCAGAATAGGCAAACTGCAGATACCCTCAGATAGGGACCTACATTTGGTGGGTCTCAGAAAATGTGCCTTCTCTGCCATGGTACATACTTCACAGAACATTCTTCCACCCAAAATTAGATCAGCTCTTTCCTGTTTGATATTCCAAAAAGCCCTCAAGACTTGGCTGTGTTATCAGGCCTAGGATTCCCAGGCAATCAGAGATTTTCTTAGAGGTATCCATTGTTGGGATAAATGTTTTTAATCTCCCTTCACCCATGATTTGTATCTTTAACTTTTATGCTATTTATTAGTTTGCATTTTTAAATGTATTTGGGTAAGTCAAGGGATAATATGGTATGGGAAAACCAAAACAGTCAGTTGATCCAGTCAGTTAGCAAGCATTCAGGTAACTGAATTCATCTTAAAAGGATTCAAGGATGTACAGGGGTTAAACTAAGTAACACAGTTAGTTGTATTATGAAAATACCTAATCTAGCTAGTTGGCCTGTTTTGCATACCTAATATTCTGGAAAAAAAGGACTGGGGAGAAACAGCAGCTTAAAAAGCAAACCTCTCTCAAGAGGATTATGATTTAATATACAAACAGCAGTTCTGTTTTGCTTGGGTTCAATGTTAATCTATTTTATGCCATCCAAATGTCAATGTTCTCCAAACAGGATAAGATATCAAGGCCAGCTCCAGCCTTGGCGTAACTCACTCCAAAGTCTACCAGCACAAAATATGCTTCCCAAATACTGATTTACTCCAGTGATCAAATCATATCCATTATTATTGAACAAGGGATTAGTTATGGCTTGTTAGTCTTCTCCTGACTGAAGGATTTATGGGTTACTAAGCACTTCCTAAAGGAAGTATGTGTGGACTTTGTGTTTCCCCAATGAATGATTTTTGATTCAGTTATGTGATTAGGTATTGCAAGAATGATCAGACTTGGTAGTTTACTAACAACAACAACAACAACAACAACAATAATAATAATAATAATAATAATAATAATAATAAAGTTGGAAGGGACCTTGGAGGTCATCTAGTCCAACCCCCTGCTCAGGCAGGAAACCCTATACCATTTCTGACAAATGTCTATCCATTCTCTTCTTAAAAACTTCCAGTGTTGGAGCATTCACCGCTTCTGGAGGCAGGTCGTTCCACTGGTTAATTGTTCTAACTGTCAGGAAGTTTCTCCTTAGTTCTAAGTTCTTAGTTTCCATCAATTGTTTCTTGTCTTGTCTTCTGGTTCCTTGACTCCCTCTTCTTTGTGGCAGCCCCTGAGATATTGGAACACTGCTATCATGTTCCCCCTCGTCCTTCTCTTCATTAAACCAGACATATCCAATTCCAGCAACCGTTCCTTATAAGTTTTAGCCTCCACCCTAATCATCTTTGTTGCTCTTCTCTGTACTCTTTCTAGAGTCTCAACATCTTTTTTACATCATGGTGACCAAAACTGGATGCAGTATTCCAAGTGGTTAAGTTAATTGGTTAAGTTAAGAACACTATTGGATGTAGGACTTTCTTTTTGCAAATATCTATCTTAACCTCATAAATATATTCAGAAACTAGTACCATAGGCATAATATCAACAGGAGAGGGAATTACTTTAATTCAATCAGTACCTGTCACACAAGATAAAATATCATAGAAATTTGAAATGAATAAAGCATAAAATTATAAATATTAAATCTATGAAGTCATTAAATTCATTAAATGAATTTAAATAACTAAAGCTATTAACTTATGAAAATTAAAAAAAAAGTAAGTTTCATTTATTTATTTGTAGTATGGCTTGGAGCTTGTCCCATTTTAATGGGCTTATCCAGAGATATAATTTTTGCACAAGTTACTGATGCCCAAATGAGACTTCCACTGCAATGATCCCTTTTAAAAGCAGGTTTGGGGTTTTAGCCCATCTTGGATGTATAGTTCAAAAGCATGCTGATATCATTTCCTAACTGGAATGTGAAGGATACTTAATTCAAATTAAATTACAACTCTCCAGAGCAGAGTCAAATTAAGAGACCATTACTGTTTCCTTTTTCCCCACTACATTTATCTGCTATAATAATTCTTGAACATTAATTTGATCTGGATTATGCCTGCAGAAGGCAAAGGATCTTATCAGAACCTATTTTCTCTATCAACATTCTGAATCAAACCATGATAGAGCCCTCCAGGGCTTTTTTTTGTCATAGAACACCCAGAACGGAGTTCCGGCACCTTTTTTGGATGGAACCTTGTAGGCAAGGTGGGTTGTATGATGTGTGTGAGTTCCGGCACCTTTTTTTTTTTTTTTTTTACAAAAAAAAGCACTGGAGCCCTCTATCTTCTTCTTGAATTACAGATTCTACTTTTGGTTAACACTCCCATGACAGCAACAAGAACTTATAATTCTTAAGAATTGATCCACCCAACTTCTCTTTGTAAAGTGAATCAAACTGCCTTTTCAGATTCTAATATTTTTCACCAAATGGTTGTGCTGAGATGAATTTTGAAATGGATCTACAAATTTTATAATCCATATTGAGAGTTGGACCAATTCAATTATTCTCAAGGGTTCTCATGTTTAGAACAGTTGGGAATGGTTATTATCAGGATGCATGACAATTGTGAATTGTTTTCTTCAGCCCTACAATTCTATAATTCAATATACATTGAATGAGAAGCCCAACTTAGAATTCCTTACATCCATCTGAATGCTTGGCAACATGAATGCAGAGCTGCTAAGTTATGTCTGCATCTTAAATAATCATTATTATACTTTAAAGATTTTACTATAGCTAATAAACTATAGCTCCTCTATTATGGTAATTTCTGTCATCATTACTCCCACATATTCAAAAAAACCACTCTACACTGAACTTATTTAACTTGGAAACCAAAGCCACACATTTGCCAATGTAAGTCTTCAGTGTTGCATGTTGCTTTTGATTCTGTCACATCCAAAAATGTTTTCCTAGCAGGCATTTATGAATACCCTCACTTTGCTTGCTTTTATGTAATCATTTCCACTTTGACTAAATCTTCCACTCTGCTTCATTTGCAACAAGCCACGACC